CCTCCTCCTGGGGGCAGAAGTTTTGATGCACACATGCATGTGGCAGAGTGATTCTACCAAACACTAATCCAGGTGGTGCCATGAGGGGTTTGTGTATGGTGTGGGTGGGTGGTGGTGCATGTGACTCAGGATGCTAGCCCTACGCTATGACTGTATCTGTGTGTGTGACCAGGATTGCAGTCAGTGGAACCTTGATCATCTGGGTAAGCCTCATTCAACGAGCGTAAACGACCTAAAAGCAAACCATGTGATGTCCTGAAAGAAGTCAGCTCTTGCCGGCTGGTTTCAGTCTTCTGGTCCATCCAACACATGAGACTGGCTCAGGTCAACTCTGACTTTACACACAGAGGCTTTGGTGTGTAAGCCTTTCAGGTAGAGCCCTGACGGGTCCTCCCTATCACTGTGTGCATCTTCAAATACAGCACTGAGGTGCTGAGCAAGCAAACAAGACCCTATCCCACAGCTACAGGGTGGTGGCAGAATTCTAGGGACAATCTACAGACGCCACCTGCCTTTTCTGGCCTCTCCCTTCAACACTCCTCCTGCCCCTCTGCCCTCACATCTAGCCCCGCCCCCAGCCCGAGATGGCATTTGGAAGGTTCTAGTATTGTCCTGTGCTGGCTTTACAGTGTGGTTCCAATCAGCTGAGGCCCTTCCTCTAGCGGTGTCCTCTCAGAGACCTGTGTTCAAAGCACCTAATGGTCCAAAGTCTCTCTCAGGTATAGCTGGGGGGTGTGGTGGTAGTGGGGAGTTACACCAGGTGCTGCCGCAACCTACACTGCCCCAGCCCAAAGGTAAAGGGGGGCCCTCTTTAGCTCAGATTGCTCTGTAGGCAGACCACACACCCAGCCAGCCCCACACTACAGTCCAGGGACATCCAGGCTAGCTACATGGGGGCATCTTTGTTCCATTCAGAATGTCCTGCCTTCCCCTGCCTCTAAGGAAAATGACCCTGTGTCCACCCATGTCCAGCTAGCTTCCAGCAGGGGTGCAGCCCTGGTTCCCAACCCCAGTACTCGGCTGACAGGGGTGATGAGTGTGGCCTAGAGGAAGTCCCTTTGCTTAGCCTGCTCTTGTCCCACTGGCACTTTGGGGTCAGTGTGTAGGAGCAATTGGTCAGGCTTCCTTCTCCTGAGGCAAGCGTCTGACAACTGACACCTGCTGCAGGGCCTGCTGAGGAGCGAGGCTCGTGGTCGGTAGCTCTTCCGGTAGCCCTGTCTTCTTTTTTTTTTTTTTTTAATTAATTATTTATTAAAGATTTCTGTCTCTTCCCCACCGCCGCCTCCCATTTCCCTCCCCCAATCAAGTTCCCCTCCCTCGTCAGCCCAAAGAGCAATCAGGGTTCCCTGCCCTGTGGGAAGTCCAAGGACCACCCACCTCCATCCAGGTCTAGTAAGGTGAGCATCTAAACTGCCTAGGATCCCACAAAGCCAGTACGTGCAATAGGATCAAAAACCCATTGCCATTGTTCTTGAGTTCTCAGTAGTCCTCACTGTCCGCTATGTTCAGCGAGACCGGTTTTATCCCAGGCTTTTTCAGACCCAAGCCAGCTGGCCTTGGTGAGTTCCCGATAGAACATCCCCGTTGTCTCAGTGTGTGGGTGCACCCTCTTCCTCTGTGAGGTGAGCACAGACTCCAATGTTTAACTCCAGAGCCGAGGCCACCCCTCTGGGAGAAGAGTGTAGAATGAAGCAGGAAGCACAGACTGGCAAGGGGGCTCGCAAAGCCCTATGGGGCGGGGGTGAAAGGTCACGGCCTGTGGCTGAGCTCACTTCATAGGTTCATGGTGGCTCACTCAGCCTTGAGGCTACAGCACTAGTCCCTGAACTGTGCCCCGCTCTGCCTGTGATCTGGGCCTGCGACCATTTGGGAAATGAAAAGTCCCCGAAGAGCAGTCGGCACTGCTGGCAGGCAGGATGACTGCCAACGGGCCTGAGAGGAATGGAAGCCCTCCCATTCCCTATCACACACTGTGACTCTAACCCTGAAACACACAGGGGCACGGAGAACCCGACACTGAGAGGCAGCATGGAGCAGGCCCTGAGCCCTGGGGTATGGGACCCAGCAGAACACCGGTTCCAGGAACAGAACCTAAACTGTCACCCTCCCTGGATGTCCCTCTTGGGGGCAGTACTGATGCTGCTTTCCCCACTTACAGCTTCCTACTTGACTCCAGGCTTCGCTTCTGAGCACAGAACTTCCGCTCTACTTAACACCTGTGCCTGGGAGACTCCCCTCTCAACTCAGCGTGTCCACGGGAATGCTGACCTTCAGTGCTGCTCCTTCCGCACCCCTCCACGTAGGAAACTGCACCTCCACTGAGCTTTCACGCACGCACGCCTCGGTGTGAGCCGCACTCCTCTCTCTCCCAGGCCTCACTCCTGCAGCCAGGAACTCCTGGTGCTCTCCCTTCTCAATGATTCCAGCGTCCCCTGTCCTCTGGCAGCCCCTGCCTACGCTGTCACTGCCTCAGCCTGGTGGACATAGGTCCTCTTGTTCCCTCTGACCTGGTCCTGGGCTCCCTCTCCAAATGTTGCCACACCAGGCTTCTGAAGCCTGGCCTCTGCTCTGGCCACCTCTCGGCAGGGCCCTCCATGACACTGGGTGGCCTTGCCTGCACATTCTAGTTGCCCGTTTGGGCCTGTGCAGGCCTGCGCAGCAAGGTCCGGTGGCGTTTCCACTCCTTACCACCTCAGCTCTGTCCAGCTGGCGTCCAGCCAGGCAGTGTGGCCTTCACACCCCACATTCCTTCCTGTGTGGGACTGGGTGTGCTGGTCCCTGGTAGGAATGCCCTCCCCCTGCTCTCTGGCCCGCTCCTTTTTGATTCTGCTTGGCTGCCACGTTCCCTGCCAGGCCTCTGCTAAAGTGCACACCTCCACATTCCATCTCGACTGTCTGGGCTGGACATGTCCACCTGCCTCCCTGTCTACTCTGGCTTTTTAGTCTGTCTGTCCATCAGACGGGGCGCCTTTGAGAACAGGTACTACCCTGCCTCCTGAGCCTGTGTATAGGCCTGGTGTTCAGCCAGCACTCAGGCACCTTAAACGGAGAGGCCATGGGGCAATGCCTAAAGGGCTGGCCACCTGATGCCTGCAGGAGGAGGAGTCTGGATCGTGGCAGAGCTGAGGGGGCAGCCACCTCACAGCCAGTGGCAGTAGCGACACCTCTCCGTGGGCCTTACCAGAACCCCACAGAATTCTGGCTTCTTTCAGGGCTTCCAAAGCATCGGCTGCTTTTCTGCCTCCAGGCCTTTTTATTGACCGCTAGGACCCCATCCCCACCAAGAACAGATAGATGGTAATGACCGAACTCCACATGCTGATTTTTGGAGGTGCTGTGTGAGCCTGTCATCAGGAACAGGTCTTCCTCCTCATTGGCAGTTCTCTGGGGTCTGTCCAGAGAATTCTCAGTTCATCGCGGAGCTGAGGAACTGCATGTGATCGTGGAGCGAAGGTAGATTGGCCGTTTGAGGTCGAGGTTTCCTGGGCTCTGCACCAGGCTGGAGGCTGCTGCTGCGGGCTGGCTCACTCTTTATAAGACAGGGGCAGTGCCCTCCTAGGTGATGTCCAAGGAATTTTATTATTTAGACCACGGAGACACCAACCGTGTCTTGACAAGATGTGCCAGGAGAGGGCACTGCTGCACAACGTAGGAGCTTCCAGGTGGAAAAGAACAACATAGTTGCCAGAATAGAGCCGGACTCTCTATAAAAAGAGAGGTCCAGAGAGCCCTTGTCACCCCCTTCTACTCCCTTTTTCCACGAGTACCCTTCAATGTCAGAACTCCCCTGTGCTACACAGACCACCCTGACCGTGGAACCTCTATGCAGTCAGATTGTTCTTTGGGCCACCAGCTCACAAATGACAATGCAGAGGCTCATTATGAAAGCTTGGCCTTAGTTTAGTCTTGTTTCTAACCAGCTCTTATAACTTAGGTTAAGCCACGTCTGTCCATCTCTGTTCTGGCATGCGCCACCCATCCTGCTTCCTCGGTGTCTCCACAGGTCTTTTCTGCCTCTGGATTCTCTTCTCCCACTCCCTCTCTCAGCCCGGAAGTCCTGCCTATACCTCCTGCCTAACTCTTGGTCGTTCAGCTCTCTGTGAAACCAATCACAGCAATATGTCTTCACACAGCGGACAAATGTCCTCTGCTCGCCGCTTGTGTCCATCAGCTGAGGAAAAAATTGGAGGGGAGTCGGGCAGTCCTCAGCCCTCAAGACCCGGTATGGAAGGAAGTACAGGAGCTCTGGGTATAGCAGAGTTCTCTCTCTAGGAGTCCTTAGGGTGGAATGGGCAGGCAGAGAGTGAGTGGGTCCTGAGGGTGGGAATGGGGGCCAGAGAGGAAGTGGGTCACATTAGAGCTTTGCTGGATCTCCTGGCTGTGCAGTCAGGTTCCTCCCCCCCCATCTCTGCAGCCCCAGCTAAACTGCTAAAGTCAGTTCTCAGAACCAGAAGCCTGTCTGCCGCCCCACCGAGCCGGTGTCTTCACCTGCAGAATGGAATTACCTCTGAGAATCCAGCGAGGGGTTAGCTCATGAGTGCTCAGTGGAGGGAGGTTGGCAGCCTTGTTCTGAAGCACCACACTGAGGTAGTAAGGCACCCATGCCAACAGGATTTATTTACAAAGTTGTCCAGGAGGCCCCTGCTCCCTGTGTCCAGGCTTGCGACAAGCTACAGAAGGAAAGATGGGGTTCATAGGGGGACTCAGGAGGAAGCCCTCTGCAGCCACTTTGGTGATACCCACCCCCACACCTCATCAGGCAGATTTCCCACCTAGGAGAATGAAGTAGGAGAGATGGGGTAAGATAGTTTATTTCTGGGGGCAGCCCCAGGTGGCACTGGGTAGCACAGGGCTCTTCCCTTCTGCTGCAATGAGAAAGGCAAGCCCAGACCCGAGAAGGGAGACACCAGAGTAGAAGATCAGGTCATCAGGCACCAAAAAGGTATGTGCGGAGAAGGGTGGGTTCTTCCTGTGAGCCTCCGTGGCAAAAAGAGATGATTCCCCCCCTCACTGGTGATCTCATAGTCGAAGACCTCTTCCCACCTCAGGAGCAGGAACAGTAAAAGTCTGAGGGCTGGGCACCAGGTGAGCTCTGATCCCAGGGCAAATGGACTGATCTGTGGGGTCCTCCTCTCCAGTTCTCTTTGTCCCTCACCGACTGGCAGGTTCATTCCCAGAAGTCCCTGCTGCATTCACCACGGCACCTCCACAGGCTGGCAGCCCCAGGTTGGGGTCATTCCCTTGAGCCCCCTAGCACTGGGGAAGGAGGCTCCGGGCTGGTGCGAAGGTTTTCTTCAGGGCTTCTGTAATATGGTACAAATCCCGAATCACCGAGAGCGTGGTCCCCAGAGAGAGGCAGATCCTGGTTGCCGTCACACACGAACCCTCCCAGGAAGTGGTAGCAGGCTGGTAAGGGTGAAAACCCAGAGAGGAGGTCTGGCCCTGCCAAGGCAGACTGGATGAGGAAGAGCAAGGGGTCAGCCAGATTCAGGCCCAGATGCCAAGATGGACCCTGGCCCTATAACTCTACAGGGGCAATCGTGGAGGGTGGTAGGACCCAGGCCAGTTCTGCAGAGTGGAGAACCCTTGGTGATGTTGTTTACCCATTGAGGGATCCCCACGGGAAAGTTTGACACTGACCTTTGACTCACTATCTACCCCACTTTCTCTGCAGTCCTAGATCCCATGCCTAGCTATGTGTTTTCCAGTGGGGCTGCCCATGAGATTAGAGGATACAGATCTGGACCAGAAAGGCTTGGCACCTGCTACCCGGGTGACTGAGGCCGTGCTCCTTTGATTTTTGAAGAGATGCTGTCCTGCTCATAAACAGCCATTGGCATGGGTCATCAGGACCGAGTGAGACAGCACACATCCAGTATCTGGGTGTCTAACAATTTCAAGAAGTAACTAGGCATTTCTATGGGCTCAGCCCTGGTTTCAGGCCTCTCTTTGAATTATCGTATGTAATTCAGTATCTCCAGAGTCACTTCCCTGCAAGGGAGGAGCTGAAGTATAGTTGGGCAGCCCCTCCTAGCCTCTGTGCCCATACTAATGTGCCATCAGGGACCTGGCCAAGGGCTCACTAGAGTATGGGCCAGGGACAGATTATGGAGCATTCCAGAGGTTTGGTGTTGCCTGCCCTTCTATAGCCTCTTCACAATCATCACAGGGCATCCATCCCTGGCTGTCACCTTGCAGCAGCCATCCTGTGCTGTGGGAAAGAGGCCTCTGGTGTCCAGACACCAACAGCCTTGAGGGGTGATGCTGGGGAGATGCTCTTCCGGAGAGCGGTAGTACGGGGAAAAGCCACTGGGTGGCGCCGACTCCCTGAGGAACAGACCCTCTCTGGGGCTCCAGCCATCTTTGTGTCCAGCACAAACTTCACACTGCTGGGCCAGTTCCTCCACGTCCAGGGGCTGCTCATGAGTGTGAAAGAAAGGTAGGAACTCTGAGCCCACCTCCGAGAGGCTGCAAGACCCAAGTGACTCCTGGTCCTGTGAACTAGTGACTTGCGGTTGCTGGGACAGGTGTCCTGGGTCCACCCCCGACAAGAGACTCAGAGAGATCAGGGCACTGGACTCAGCCTCATGGCTCTTCTGAGTTGTCTGAGAAGAGAGGGTATCCATTGGTCACTGCTGCCTGCCTTTGTCCCTAGTCCTGTCTTCATCTGGGGGGCTTATAGGGACCACAACCCATCAGGGTTCCCCTCCGGGAAAGTCCAATAGTGTTCCTAACCGTGCCCTCTGAAAACCATGCGCTCTGCGACCTCACTTCACTTCTCACCCTACTGACTCTGCTCAGTGTACCCTGCTCCTCACACCCCCACCATCCCCCCCAGCCCTCAGTCACACTGCACTTGACCTTGCCCGAGCACATGGGGCCCTCACCTCAGAGGAGTCTTCCCAGCTCCCAGACTCCCCCATAGTTACTGTTACCACTTCTCTCACAGAAATGCTTTTTCTTCTATTCTGCACCTGAGGTGGTCACGCCCCTGACACTCAATAGACACTTTTCCAAGAAAACAAAACAAAACAGAAACTAGTTCCTTATCCTACCCTCCTGGTCTCAGACCCCTTAGCTCGGTTGTGTCCACACAGGCCTTCGTTTGGCCTTTGCTGGGTAGGTCCTGAGCACACGCCAGTGTGCTCGCCTGAATAATCTCTTCCCTGGGTGATGGTTGCATATGGTGCTTGGTTAGGGCTGCTTTTCTTGCCTCCACAGTTCAGTCACATCACCAAGTTGACTGACACCCCTCCCCACTGAGGACACTGCTCCTCTGATGTACCCACCCTGCCCTGAAGCACTTGCCTGCACTGGTTTTTTTTGTTTTGTTTTGTTTGTTTGTTGGCTATGTTGAATCCCATTAAATCATACCTCTCATCGAGGCAAGGCCCATCTGTCTAGCTGGCCTCTGACTCCACGGGATCCAGAAAAGCCCTGGTATGTGGTGGACAACAAAAGTGGGAGAAGGAAGGATGGGCAGTATGTAAGGACATGGGGGCTAGAGAGATGGCTCAGAGGTTAAGAGTACAGCTGTTCTTCCAGAGTCCTAGCACGGCCTTGGTGGCTCACAACCACCTGTAGCCCATTTCTGATCTGACAGAATCCAATGCCCTCTTCTGGCTTCCACAATCCCCACGTGGGCATGCAAGTGGTGCAGAGACACCCATGTAGGCAGCATGCACTCACATGAGGGAGGGGGAGATGAAGGAGAGAGAAAGAATGAGAGACTAAGAGAAAGAGAATGTCAAAAGGGCTTGCCTAGGATCTAGGTTCTTGCTGACTCGGGGCTGGTAGGGGATTCTTTCTTGGCCAGGGGAGAACAGGGACCTGGAGCCTCCTTCCAACACTGCCCACTGGGACCATTTCCAGAGGCCTCAAGCCGCTCCAACTTACAGACTCTGTCTGGACTTTGTGGGAAAGTCTATTATGAACTGCCCCCCCCCGCGCTTTCCTGACTCCTCTAGGGGTTGCAACTCTTACCTCCCCTTCCTCTGTCACAGGCACAACTAGAGCAGGTCCCTAGCTCCCTGAAAGTCACCTAACTCCTCGGAAAGTGTTGGTCATGGAGACGAGAGACCAGAGTGCACATTTGACATTCTCCATCGTACCCTTAATCTGGACTTGCCTCTTCTTGCACTGTCCTGGGGGAACAGGCTGAGTGCTGTACTGGGGGGGAGGAGCCCCATCTGCTCTTCACTGTACATGAGCCTAGTACATGGTCCCTATAAGCTACATCCCAGTCCTAACCCCTGGCACTGTGACCACGTCTTTATTTGTATGACCTATGCGATCAAGTCAAGATGAGTTCGACTGGGTTAAGGCATGCCCGAAATCGATGGCTGGGAAACCTGGACACACACTGAGGGAGCATGTCATAGGATGATCTCATCTGGCAGAAACTGGAGTGACGGTGCCATAGCTAAGGAACACCAAGTCACCAGCCATACTAGAAGCCAGAAGAAAGGCACAGGACAGCTTCTCCCTTGGAGTCCCAAGAAGGACCTAATTCTGCGGACTCCAGGCCTCCGACACTGTGTGGGAGCCAACTGTCATCATTTTGCCAGGTTCACAGCAGTTGCTACAGCAACTGTAGGAACCCAATGTGTCAGTGGGCCAGATGGCTCACCGCTGGGTTGGGGGGCCCTACCATACTTCCTATGGAAGCCCCCTACGGCGACTCCCCCTACATCTTACCCTTCTTGCCATTGAGAGGGTGCTGACCGGGTCAGACTGTTTTGGGTGGCAAAGATCCACACTTTTGTCTTTCCTCCTGGGGCCAGGGCTCCTCTTCACCTGCTAGGCCAGGATTGAAGGAGCCCAGGTGTGACTCCTCCAACTCCCCAGAGAGCTTCAGCAGAGAATGGCCCACGTGCTAGGCTGCTCATGCTCACGAGTGCGCGCCACTCAGAGTCTATTGGAGTTGGCTGCGGCCCCGAACGCTGACACGAAGAAGCCTAATCCTCAGACTAGAGCTGGGGAGGTCGAAGCCCCCTCCCACAGCCTCTTCACCAGGCAACCTGAGAGAAGATTCCACTATGAAGTCACAAGGCCTGATGCCAGGCCAGGAAGCCAGGTGGCTCTGTTGCCATGGAGACATCTCCCCTACACCCAGCACCTGCGCTCCTCACCTGCTTCCTCATTTAGCTTAATTCACGAGGCCCCAAGAGACCAAGGAAACCAAGAAATAAAACAACTGCAGTCAGATCCACTCTTCCCTCTGGGGCCAGTGACTCGCAAGAGACCTGTGCCCAGAGACCGCAGGGTGACAGCCCTGGGGTGGAAGAAGGGAAAGGCCTCTGTAGTCCTGTCTACCAACTGCAGGACACAGGGTGAGCTGGCCAGTGCTGTGTGGATTTCCACTGACCTGATGCTCCAAGCTCTCAGTCCCCTTGGGCTGAGGCACCCACCACGGCTCTTCCCAAGTGACCTGCAGAGGGAGCAGGTCCCAGGCCTGACTATGTAGGATTTGTTTCCTGTCACAGAGCTGCCATCCTGCTCAGGGGGAAGGGACCAGCATTGCTGACCCCTTCCGGTGGGTCTGCAGCCACTCTGGGCCACTCTCTCGTGTGCTTCCTGATGCTTTCTGCAAGGTTCGAATTGGAAGGGCATCTCTGCTGTGTCGGGGGCTGAACACAGACATGGGGAAGAAGGCTTTGAAGTCCTCTCCAGCCGTGGGTCGTGAACTCCTTTCCTGTCTGGGAACTCCCTTCCTGTCCTATCCCGTCTGTGGCATCTTCAGATCATTTGTTTATCCCCAGAACTTGCTCTGACTAAAGTGCATTCAATCAGGTTGTTCAAAGAGCAAATGTGGTCGGTGCATACACAGGTCCACACCTAGGAGGATGCCACCACGGTCGAGATACATTTCCGTAGCCCTCAGAACTCTGTGATGTACTTGTATAATCTCCCCAACTTTGTCTCATGCTCCCTCCCTTCTGTTGAGTGGCAGTTTCCTCTGAGGCTAAAACCTTCCATCTTGAAATGAAGCTGTTACGACACTCAGGAAGGGAAATGAAACAACAGGGTGTTCAGAGGCGAGCTGGAACATCCACCCTCCCAGGAAGCACATTTAAACTCAGGACTAAACAACTCACTAGCCTCAGGAAGTCCCTGAAACTGACCAGATACACTAGGCCCCTCCCTCCCCAAGCATGTATAAGCAGTAGGGACTGCTGAAAGACAGGCAAGCTGAGCTGCCTGGAAGAGGCTCATCCTTTCTCCCTGTTCTTCAGATTGCTTCTTTTCTGACCCACCTCACACGCACCCTTTTCCCTCACCGTTGTCTTCTCCCATGGGATCATGCAGGCGACATTTTAAGTTTCTGCTTTATATTTTTCAATCCTAACATTTCTGTTTGCTCTTTTTGGAAGTATTTGAAAGTTCTCTGTGGATAAATAGCTTCTTTCTCTTAATATATTTCTCGGGGTCCGAGGAAGCATGCTCTCACCACAGCCTCTTGGAAGTCTTTGGCAGCCCTGACTCACCTTGGGATTTAAATGTATTCTTTGCCCCTGAGAACCGGCAGCGATTTCCTGGCTCTCTGTATGATGGATAGATTTAGGTTATCCTAGAGACAGGACAGTGTTGCTGAGTGCAGACTTTGGGTTCTGCCCACAGACCCCGTCTGAGGAACATTGGTGTTATGTTCTAGCAGGTCATCAGTTTGCTTGGTTCAAGCTCAGGTTCAGCTTTGCCTGTGTGGAGAGCGATTCCAGGGTTGGTTGCTGTACTGTCCCAAGCATGCACTATATTTAGCAAGTGTGTTAAAGAGATGTGCACAGGTTTACATTTCAGTCTGATTCTAAGAGCTTCACTGTGCTGCCTTGGATCTGTGTGATTTGTGCAGAGCGCAGGGGCCAGGTTGCCCATTGTGTGACTTCACAGAATTAGGGATCCACTCTTTGGCTCTCTATATCCCTGGATATTCCTTACAGCTTTTTCCCAGAAGGGCTTCCCCATCACATTCCTTTGACTGATAAAAGGGAACATTTCTTGTGGAATAGCCTTCTGCCTCTGCTGCTTCTATGAGAAGGGGGGAGGAAGAAAAACAGAAGAGGGGGAAGGTGTGAGGGAGAGGAAGAAAAAGAGGAAGAGGAGGAGAGGAGAGGAGGGAGCACGTCTGTTCAGTTTTTCTTTTTTTCCCCCCAATCGGCATTCACTCTCCTTTTTGGGCTCTCACATACCAGCTTGTAGATTCTATTTAGGATTTCTAGCCACAGTGAGCACGGGCTGACGCGGGCTTATGTTGCCGCCTTAGCCTCATTTTGTCCATTTGTTCCTGTTGTAAACACTTTATATCTGCTGGATACGAGTCCTTTGTCAAAAAATTTGCATTGTGAATATTTTCTTCTTAGCTGTGCCTTTTACATTCTGGGAAACAAAAGTTTAATATTTTATGAAATTCTGTTTATCAGTTTTCTGAGTTTGTGCCAGTTTATCCCTGTGAACAGCCCAAGGAAAAGACTCATGCAGGGTTTTGGAACGGTAGACCCAGGCCCACTGCAAGGGCTCATGCCAATGATTCACTTAAAATGTGTCCTCATATGAGCATCCTGAATCCCAGGGCGAGAGACTGGGCTCTGGAGAAGTGGTACTCCAGGACAGCTGAGCCTGGGCCAGGTCC